TGCATGCATGCATGCATGTATGCAGCATACCATGCGCATGCATGGTAGGGAAAAATGCCATTTTGCCCATCCCTAGTAGTCACGTATAAGGTATTCAAATGCTAATTTATTTATCAGTGTAGTTGCGTTAAAAATAGCTGGATTTAGCTATGCCATGATTTTGGCTTCTTCATTGGAAAGTGGGTTGCTCCTGGGTAGTATAGCCTCAATTGTCTGGTTGACAGACTGTAGGCTAGGCTTTGTACACACTGTTATTGACCTCGATGCTTTGAACTATGCCGGGTGTCTAATGTAACTTTCCCAGATATGTTTTTTAGCTGCTATTAAATATGGATTTACATTAGTATTTATTTGTAGCCGTATGCACACTATTATTATTATTATCACATATGTAATTTCATTTTTTTTTTTTATTGTATATTCATTTTATTAATTATTAATATCATTCTTATTTTTTAATTTACGCAAGTACCACCGTGATGGAGACATGCGTGTCAAACACATGATAGTATAAATCCGTATGCCTTGTACTTGTTGCTCATCGTTTCCCCTTTTTATTTTTTTATTTTTATATCCTTTCCAGTAGCAGGTTTTTTCGTTGTGTCCTAATTTTTTGTACACTATACATGTATGGACTCTACTGCATACTTTGTCTTCTGGGCATGATTTTTTATTCCAATTTAAGCATATTTCTTTACCATCATACCATGTGGTATCAGCCTAGCCTGGGCGCCACCCTTCATATCTTGGTTTTTTGGCTGTAAAAACATCGAAATTTTTTCTCTCGGCCTCGATGTTCCGATCGAGTAGTGTGATGTCCCGGTTCATGATTAACGTGATTCTTTGGTCCTCATTGTATCCCAGTACTGCTGAGAAATCATGCTTGATGCAAAGCTTATTGATATGGTTCCTGTATACATTTAATTCTTGCTCTCGATTCTATACAGCACCAATGCAGCGTCCATGTACGCTTTGAAGGCCAGCAGCCACTCTGATATATTCTGGATTGTGCTGCTACATGAACGTTTCCTTATCGATATAGCTTCGCTATCTGATGTTTAAAAAATTGTATCCTTACTCATATGCTTGACGTTGTCAACCATATTTTTGTGTGAAAATTCTTGAAGATTCATGAATAAGCCAAGAGCCAGTGATTTCCATATCTTGTTAGTTAAACTTGGTTTTTGTAGGAGCATCTCAATTAGTTTTTGGCCCTTGCTTCAATTTAACACCCACCACAACCGGATTTGTTCGGTTTCTACAGCCTTCAGGTTACTCAAGCCTTGGACTATAGGCATTGGCTTAATTTCTGAATAGTCTATGACTGGGAATCTTCTCAAAGTACCTTTGTACTTGATTAGTCTGATCTTTTCTTGCTTTTCATGACTTTGGGCTCCTGTAGACGCTTCAATAATCAACCTGTTAAGTGTTGGAGTAGGAGGATAGTTACCTTCAAATTGGTCTACATTGCTTCTACTACTTGTTACACATATAGGCTCTTGACTGTTTATTTGTGTATGTTGTATGCTCTGTGTTGCCGTGGGTATTGCTATTTCCTTCGGTGCCGCTTATGTTTGCCTGTTCCAGTTTTGCAAACCTTTTATTGATTGTTTCGAATTGCTGGTCTATGTATTGCTGCATTGATTGTACTAATGATGCCGTAGTAGTCTGAATTATTGTATCTAGATATGCTTTCGTCTGTGAGCTCAGTGGGCTTTGTTGGCTCTGTTCTTCTTGCCCTTGGCTACCAAATGGCTCTGACGACTTGATTGTTTCCTCTGACACCGTTCTTGTTACAAGTGGATTAATATCCATAACCTTCTTTTGCTTTTTGCTCATCATGAATTGGTTTATTTTTTGCAGCGGTAATGGCAGCTCTTGGTGCAACTGCTGTAATTGTCTCCTTTTCTTTGTAATTTACCTGTTCCAGCCCTGGCCAGGCTTTGTGGCATTTACCATACCCAGAAGTTAATTTAAACATCATACTCACCTGCATTTGGACTTCCACATAAATCCTGTGCTACCACCTTGATTTTCACATGCTCCGTTTTTGCGTCTCAAATTCATGACTGCCTGGCCCCAGAATTTGTCCATACTTAGCCGTCTTTCAATCTGTTAACTGCGCATACGCTCGTATGTACATCAACTCAAAGCATTCTATAGTTTCGTAGAATTCAAATAAAAAAAAGTTCATCGAATTTGGCCTAGTAGTTGCTGAAATATCATTACTCAAAATTTAAAAAAAATCAAAACGTCTATCAAAACAAATAATACAAATTTTTTTTAAACTTTGAGCGAAGATATCTCAGCAACCACTAGGCCAAATTTGATGAATTTTTTTTAATTTGAATCTGTAGAATGCAAAGAAAAAAAATTCATCAAAATTGACTTGGTAGTTGTCGTGATATCTTCGCTCAAAGTTTTAAAAAAAGCCAAAACATATATCAAAACAAAAGCTGTGCCAAAATTTTCTCAAAGTTTGAGTGAGGATATTTCGATAACTACCAAGCCAATTTCGATAAATTTTTTTTATTTAAATTCTACAAAGCTGTAGAATGCAAAGAAAAAAAATTCATCAAAATTGACTTGGTGGTTGTCGTGATATCTTTATTCAAAGTTTTAAAAAAAACTCAAAACGTATATTAAAACAAAAGCTGCACCAAACCTTTTCTCAAACTTTGCACGAAGATATCTCGAAAACCACCAAGCCAAATTCGATGAATTTTTTTATTTGCATTCTACAGATTCGTAGAATTCAAATAAAAAAAAATTCATCGAAATTAGCTCAGTGGTTGTCGAGATATTCTTGCTCAAACTTTGAGAAAATTTTGGCGCAGCTTTTGTTTTGATATACGTTTTGAGTTTTTTTAAAACTTTGAGCGAAGATATCACGACAACCACCAAGCCAATTTCGACGAATCTTTTTTTTTTTGCATTCTACAGATTCATAGAATTCAAATAAAAAAATCCATTGAATTTGGCCTAGTGGTTGCAGAGATATCTTCACTCAAAGTTTAAAAAAAATTTGTATTGTTTGTTTTGATAGACATTTTGATTTTTTTCAAACTTTGAGCATGATATCTCAGCAACTAATGGGCCAAATTCGGTGAATTTTTTTTATTTGAATTCTACGAATCTGTAGAATGCAAAGAAAAAAAGATTCATCAAAATTGGCTTGGTGGTTATCGTGATATCTTTGCTCAAATTTTTTAAAAAATGTAAATTTGTAAGGGGTATGGTTAATAAATTAGAGAGGTATAAAAAATAATTTCCTTTTAAAAATTATCTTATGTGATAATATTAATACATAGGTGCAAAACCACTATAAGTGCAAATCACTATAAGTGCATTTTAGAAAAGTGTAACTTTAAAGTTAGGAAGAATAAATTTTATACTAAAATTTTGCAAAGAATTTTTTTTGTTAGAATACAAAAGGCAGTTTTTTAAACAAAATTTTGAGTTGGTGATTTTTTGAAAAATACAACTAGCTAGTATTTTTTCCCTAATACTATGAGAACTGAAAGTTATTTATTAAGTTAATGTAAATCTAAATATAAATTTTAATATACTATATTTTGTTTGTCAAAGTATGAGTATTACACATTACACAATGTATAATAATATTTTAAAAATTGATCTACTTTATTTGTCATGCCAGGTACTTTGGTGAACAGAATATGGTATTAAAGCCCTTACCCAGAGCAGGTTGATCCATACAAGTTAGCTTCTTAGTGAGTCACAGATCAAAAATTGGGTTGAATAAAATTCAGAAATCAGTATTTTGGATACAGAAAATAGATAAACCCAAATTATGAACAAGATTGAGAAGTTTTGGCTACCTAGTTTAAATATTTGTTATAATAGATACAATATAAAATTGTAAAATTCTATAAGCTCTACTCTCTAAACTCTTAAGAGTAATTTATAAACCTACAGTATTGATTCAGATAATGCTTTAAATAAGAGTTATTATATATTAATATTAATTCTAAAATCTTTATGATTTTATGTATAACCTGTTAATCAACATAAGACCCATTATTTTCTGATCTATGTAATAGCTCAAATTGAAGTTAATTGAAAAATTTTGTTAAAATCTCATTGTGTGAATGCAAATTAAATTTTATTCAATAGAGGATAGGCATAGGGGTAGGCGGTGATAAAATTGGCTTTTTTTTGATAAACATTCCCCAGTAAATTGTATACATGAATCTAGTATAACCACCATGATAAGTTATACATGGAGTTAGAATTATATTTTTGATATTTTCAGGTTTCTGTACTTTCTCATATTAAGTTAATAGTATATACTTTTAAAAAATAGAATTTGTACATACATTACTTATTTAATAGATTTTGTTGATCGAAATGGTAACTCACTTGGTTAGTTTAAATATTTCAGACTATTAAAATTTTGCTTTATTTCTAGAACACTTGATAAAAAGTAATGAATGATTTTTCAGCCAATTCGGCTAAGCTATCAATTTGGCATGATCTACATAATAATAAAAATAATAAAAGTTATTTTGTATCATAATGTTAATTTTATAATTTCTAACAATAATATTCAAATGCTTGTCTAATATATTTGATGTGCTCTTGTCAACCAATAAACCTTAATAAGAAATGTAAAAAAAAACCGAATATAAATTAGGCTTTTATTATACAAACATGTACCGCTATTAAAAAAGTTAATTATAAATATGAATTTGTTGACTAGTTTAAAAATGAATCTCAGGTTAGAATACCAAGCAAAGAATTATAATAAGCGAAATCAAAATAAAAAAATTGATATATTTATATTACTTTAATAGTAAATGTGATTTTTCTGAAAGTAACAAAAGTTTTTCAACACATCTATATTTTTAAAAGTGTTTTAAAACCTGGCTTACAGAAGATATGCCAACACTTAAGTGTTTGGCAATTTTTTGAAAAGTGGGCTTTCTAAATTTTTCAATGGTTTTCTAGCAAAGTTGCTTTGAAAGTATCATATTTTATATCTATATTAGTCACTTGATCTTAAATTATATAATATATCAATAATGATAATATATTAATTTTATCATGCCCAAAATCAATAACTTAACAGAATCGGCTGAAAAATCATTCGGTCAATTTTTAATAACTATATGATATCTAATTCAATCCCAAAATTCCAGATCAGAATACATTGGAGGATAGCCAATTATAAAAATTCTTTTAAAATTTAGGGTTTTTTTAGAACTTTAAGCCAATATTTCTCGATGAATATTAACTAATTTCAGTGAATTTTTTATTTATTTTAACTCTATAAGTTAATAGAATTAAAATATATTGAATTTAGTTAGATAGTTGTTGAAAAAACTTCATTTAAAGTTTGAAAAAAGGGTAAAATTTAAAAAATCAAAAAGCTATAGTAAAATTTATTTTTTTTAACTTTAAGTGAAGTTTTTTCAATAAATTCTAACCATTAGATATTTGTTGAAAAATCTTTGTTTAAAGTTAAAAAAAAAATTTTACTATAGCTTTTTTTTTTGAATTTTATTTTTTTTTAACTAAATATGATATATTTTAATTTTATTAACTTATAGAATTAAAATAAATAAAAAATATTGGTTTAAAGTTCTAAAAAAAATTCAAATTTTAAAAGAATTTCATAGCTAGCCATTTTCTAATATATTCCAACTCAGAATTTTGTGCTGGCTTGTATGTTAAAATATATTCATTTATTAGTTAATTATGTTATCTGGTATAGATTTGGAAAAAATTGCCAAATTCTTTTGCTATAACCTTTAACTTTAGTGATTATCAATTTATTAGTCCAGTAAAAAATCTAATAAAAAAAAAACAAAAAAACAAAATACTTTAAATTTTGATAATAAACATAAATTGAAGAACTTACAAAGCTAAAATCTTTATCTACTTTAAGGTTTCTTTTGTAATTTTTTTTTAACATGAATTTTATAATACTATTTACTATTACTATTACTATTACTATTGCTATTTACTACTACTATTAATCTTTATGATTTACTATAACTATTATTTTAAAAATAAATAGACTTTTTTTTCTAAAATGCTCAAGTAAATCCTACCAAAAAAGAGTATATGTAGCAAATTTTTTAATGATCTTTAATCAAGAACTTTATATAAACTTACTTAGATGTTTTGCTATAAAAAATTTGTATTACTATTCACAAAAGTTAGTGTAATTGGTTAGTTGTCACTCTCTCAAGCGGCAGGTCTAGAGTTCGAATCCCATGGACAACGATTTTGAAAAATGGATCTGCGTACAGTTAATGGTTATCAATTATCAGTTGGATCTTAATTTGTAATCTCAGTCACACCATCTAGTAATGAGAGCTTTGGCGCAATAAACCCAAGGAACCAGAATAACCAAAAACCCATTTGGCAAGTCTCGAGTTGGAATGTAGCAATGATCTTTGACGGTATCACAGGAGGGCTGAATTCGAACCAGGGCCTGAGATCAGAGAACCAAGCGACCAGGTCCTATGGCAGAGGACACACCAGCTGAACCACTGGGTTGTCGCACCGGAGGAAAAGGGCATACGCTCCGAAAGTATGGACCAAGAGGAGAGTGTCCTTCAGGCACCTAAAGCCTGGGCAGACTGACTCATCTAGTTTGCTAGCTGGAAGTAAGGGAGGGACCGATAAGGAATCCGGGTAAGGAGATGGCTCCAAATGCGAGTACTGAGGTTGTTGAGAACCTTACAAGGGCAAGGAGTACATAATGGGTAACTAATTAGAAAGGTTGTGGCTTGAGATATGGATCAGGTTATGGCAGCACCCCAAAGGTTGGCTTGAGATACGAACTTGGTGACGGCAGCACAACAGATACTAGTTAGGAAGAAATTACCGAACATGCAGGTAAAAACATGTGTGAGACATGAACTACTCTGTTAGGTTTACCTCATGGATAGATTAGCCATGTATGGTTTGTTAGTTTTAAGACAAGGGATTGATAAATCCAAAAATGGTTAGTAAGTCCTAAAGTAA